AGCCCGCACGGAGCCGGGGCAGTGCCGTGTTCCCGCAGCCCGCACGGAGCCGGGGCAGTGCCGTGTTCCTGCAGCCCCAGAGCCCGCACGGTGCCGGGGCAGTGCCGTGTTCCCGCAGCCCCAGGAGCCCGCACGGAGCCGGGGCAGTGCCGTGTTCCTGCAGCCCGCACGGAGCCGGGGCAGTGCCGTGTTCCCGCAGCCCCAGAGCCCGCACGGAGCCGGGGCAGTGCCGTGTTCCTGCAGCCCGCACGGAGCCGGGGCAGTGCCGTGTTCCCTCAGCCCGCACGGAGCCGGGGCAGTGCCGTGTTCCCGCAGCCCCAGAGCCCGCACGGAGCCGGGGCAGTGCCGCGTTCCTGCGGTCCATGTGCGCAGCCCGTGGGGCGCAGGTGACACAGAGCACTATATCTGTATTTGGTGGCCTGTACCAGTGTGCCCCTGCCATCATTCTCCTTTCGGGAAGCCTGCTGGTTCAGCAGGTGGGGGGTATTTTACCCCACCCACAACTGCTGTTTCTGCCATATCACCCAGGATATCGTGTGTAAAGTCACGGGCACGGCACCCAGATAAGCTAAAGGCAAAGGTCTGGTGATTCAGAGATCAGTGCTTAGTCTGAGCATATTCTGGACACCTCTTCATGTTTTATGGAGGTTGTCTCACCTCTCCTTATTGTCTATACAATGTACTTTTAAAAAGCAGAAGGGTCAGAATTCAATTTGGGATGTCAGGAAGGGGAGGGTGTTGTGAGGATGCCTGGTATTTTCATTTACCCATCCCACCTCCAGCATTCAACCTGTTTTTCACCATCAGAGGAGTCCTAGCATAGCCTTCATTTTTTGAGATGACTCATTTCCTTTTCTGCAATGCTCTTACGTTCTAGGGCTAATAATACTTCCACAAGTGGAAGTCATTATTATAGAGGGCTGCTGATAAACTGGTTCATCCTACCTTGCCACTCAGATGGTATCACAAATGGCAGCCTCAATGTTTTATGTTCTGCCCGAGAGAGTAATTTTTCTTTCARCCCTGGAATTTAATTAACATCCAAACATGTGCCTGCATCCATTTGGAAACTGATGGCATTAACTAAATAAACCCACACAGCAGGTTTTTAAAAGATGTTTGTTCCTTGAGCCTTTGTTTATTGTGAACAGTCTGGGGCAGGGTATTCTCTGCTGTGTCCGTAGGAGCAGCCAGGTGTGTCCCACCYGCTGCTGGTAATGAGGCAGTAACGTGATTCACACCATGAGGGATAAAGGCTGCAAAGGCAGCAGCGCTCACTTTTCCAGGCTCTAGGGCTGGCTCTAAGTCTAGCACTCTCTAGCAGGTGCCTTGGTGTAGAGAGAAGAATGAAGGAACGTGACAGTATTTTTCCTGGTCTTGACTGGTGAATCCTGGATCCTGCCATCTTTCTTTTAACGTGAAGCCGTTTTTTAAATGGCTGGTGGGGGAGAGAGAGAGATGCAATGTGGCTGGTRACAAACGTGGCTGTGGGTGATTGCGTTGCTGTTCCAGCATATGGCTAACACCAGCAGCATGGAAAGGATGTTATTTTAAGGCCCCTCCTTTGCTGGTGGAAGCATGAGAAGCAGAAGAGCAGCTGTCTCACACAGCAACTGAGCTTTCATGGTAGACATCAGTTAACCTGATTTTTGTATCAAAAAGAAAAGGAAAAATGTTTGCTTTGTTTTAATGAGCCTCCTCYGCATATGCCTGGCTACACTTCTAAAGGGAGGAGGGTTACAATAGGAAGCAAATACATCCTACGGGGACAGCCTGGTTAACTTTATTCAGCTGTCCTCACTGTGGGTGCTGAGAGCCTGCTGCCTTTGAGAGGAAGGTGCTAAGGAGCCAAGGATGCCCTGGGCATGGCTGGATGGGCTGTACTCCTCAGGGATACTAGATAGCATTACCTCTGCTTCTCTTGCTGACCCAAGAATGCAACATTTCCCCCAAAAGCACCACCATTGCTCTTCTCCGGAGCTAATTGATGTAGACCTTGCTTGAACCTCTGGTGTCCCAATCAGGGACAGAAAGACTTTTACTGGGAAGTGAGGTGGGAGAACTGGTACCTCATGTTGCCTGTCCAGTTTTCCCTGTGCTGCCTCTGCGAGGATGCCAAGGCTGTCATTTATTAACCACACGGGTGGTGCATCCCAGCAGGGCTCCTGCAGCAGCCGGTGCAGTGGTGGAGTGGGATGGGAGCTGCTGGGAATGGGGGAGCTGGTGCTGCACATGGCTGGGAGGGACACAGCTGGGCAACGCAGTGATTCCAACGTGGGGGTGGAAAAACTTCTCTCACAGCTGTTTACTTTGCAGGAGAGGGGCTGTGAGGGATAAAGAGGAAACTTAAATTTCTCTGGCACGGGGTGGGAGCCAGCTGTCTGTCTCACAATGTCCTGTATTGCTGAATCTCATCAGCCAACCCTCTTCTTGGTCCCRCTTCTGCTCAGGTTACCACACAGTGCAGCAAAACCGCCTCTTCCTTYGCTGACCAAGCTAATGGAAACCCCTTTAATAATTCAGGGGATAAATTCTGCACTTGGAGGGGTGGGTTTTGCAGAGAAAAGCACAGAAATACAGGTTGTTCTTGGGTGGGCTGCATGGGGATSGCCTGTGCTGACTGACAGCCCTGTGGCCTCTCCTGTCCCCAGATAGTGATGTACATAGGCCAGGTCTCCAAGGACATCCTGAAGTGGCCTCGGCCCCTGTCACCACCTGTCGTGAAGCTGGAGATGAGGACGAACGCAGAATATGGGATGCCATCCACCCAYGCCATGGCAGCTACAGCCATCTCCTTCTCCTTCTTCATTGCAACCACGAACCAGTACAAGGTAGGGGGTACAAAAACAAAAGAAGAAAAAGAAAATACATTAAAAAAAGAAAAGCATGTGTCTGCTTCTAGCAAGCTGCATAAATCTTGCAAATCCAAAGCTGTTGCCACTTCCAGAGGAGCTCCGTATTTATTTTCACWGATCTGTGTTCTTCCCTGTGCTTACCTGTAGCTGGCCAATAATCAACAAAAAAGAAATTTAGTGGAAATGTCCTTCCTTTTGCATGGACTCCTCTCAGCACTGCTGGCTGGCTGCACTGCCCTGCTGTGGTTTGGTGGGTTCACTGTGTTTTTGGATGTGGGGGGACTGTGGAGGGAAGGTGTCTGGTGCCAGCATTTGTGCTCACCCTGTGCCCACCAAGCCTGTGCTGCATGTCAGGTCATGCTGGCTCCAGGGAAACCAAAGGAGCTCTGTGTCACCTGGTTTCCCTGTGAAAGGAAAAGCACCCTTGGAAATCCCCTGGCTTTAACCTGTGTTAGACTAACAGCATGCACCATGACTGTTTGTCAGAGAACTAACAGCAATTTCACTGCACTGGAGCCAGTCTACTCGGGGAGTTTCATCATTCTTCCTTGTCATCTAAGAGATTTATTTCCTGGAAACTTATTTCTCCATTATTATTATTTTCATTCCATTTTACSAATCCAAGCATGTGTTTCCTGTACTCTAGCAATAATAACTTCCTGGCTGTATTGTGTTTAGGAATGTTTCTCAGCCCAATCAAGGGATAAACCCATGTAACCAAGAGGGCTCCTGCTCCCTGTGGGGTAACTGTTCAGAGAAGCTTGACAGTTGGATGGGGACAGGGAGCCATAAGAGGAAATATTTGTTAGCCCTGGAAGGCCAGATCCATCCCACATGTCAGAGCTRCCAAGAAGAACCAGTCAGCATCACCTTCTCCTCCAAAATCCACAAGTGACCAGAGGGACACATAGCTCTTCACAGGCTGTCTTGTGCTTCTTGGAAACTGCCATGAAACAATAAAGCTGCTGTCAAATAATTAAACGATTTAATTGCCTCTATTAAGATGGCAAAATCTCCCAGTACATTATGCTGCTATCTTCTCAAGATGCCCTAATCATCAATTACTGATCTGGACTAGCTCCCAGGCTGCCTGCTGAGGGAGGAGTCAAGTGGGTGTAAATGCTCCAAAGGCTTAGAGAAATGAGGGAAAATAGTGTTTTATGAACTGGCAGTGACATCTGCAGCTGGGTCTGAGCTCTCCATTCAGGGGGCTGGTGTATGCCGGGGGAAAGGGTCAGAAGGGACTTGTTATGCTTAGAATTTCCACAGAAGCATTTTTGTGCTGACCTGTGGYCACCCTGGTCACTTGACAGCCTCTGGCAGAAGATGGAGACTTTGTGTCAAATTGGATGAATTAACTTCATTTATTTATATTTTGAGTTGGTTTATTTTTTACAGAAAAATCTCCCTTATRGACAGAAAGGAACACAGCAGCCCACTCAGTTTCAGGATTTGAATGAGTGGATTAAGGGCTAATATGTTAAGCTTATTCTTTACCAAATGTGGGGTTTTTTATCCTTCTTTAATGTTGATTTATTTAACTGCTTCTTTCCATGTTTGCAGGCAACTCAGAGAGGGTATTAAGCAAAAACAGCTTYATAAGAAGATGATTAAACCTTTAAGTGTCATGGGGAAGAGCTGTCCTAATTGCTCTAATAGCTGGACTGTGGTTTCAGCCCAGACATTGATTGTCCACACTCAGCCCACTGCTCGAGGACTATTGATCACCCTCCTGATCACACTCTGCAGCTGTCACAATCCTCTTGGCTGAGCTGAGCCTGCTTACTGCCTCAGGCATGTCTTGTACAGCRTGCTCTGCCTTTTTCCTTAAGGTCTTTAACAATTAGATGGTATTTGCAGAATTGTTCCCTATAATTCCCTGCCTTACCCACTCTGTGGCCAATTCTTCCAAAAGCAGGCAGCACAGGTAATGAAATGACCTTGTAGCAGGATTGTACATTGACTGAGGCAGGGTCTCGTCTCAGGTCACATTATTCTCTTGGGGAGACTACAGCTCACTTCCTAGCACAATATCCTTATGTCATTCCAGCTGCTGGGTGTAATGGGCGTATTTAATTTATTTTTTTTCCCTTTTCACAGTACCCATTTGAGCTCGGCCTGGTGGCAGCGTTTGTGTTTTCCACATTGGTGTGTCTGAGCAGGCTCTACACGGGGATGCACACAGTSCTGGTAAGGAGGTGTCTCCAGCTCTGCTTTCTCCCATCTCCCACTCTTCAGATGATGCATGACCTGCCYTGGCAGTGCCATGAATACACGAGTCGCACCACTGGATTTGGGGCGGTGCATTCAAAGGAGCCGTGAGGAAACCCTCGGGCTATTGCTATTTGAGTCCGCAGGGGAGTGATTTATAGCACCGGCGAGCCGGGCGTGGGCCGGGAGCCGGGTGAGGTCAGGGTGGCATCCCAATTGGAGTAGCCCGTTTCGAAATTTTAATTGCGAGGAATGCACTTGGGCAACTGACGCTGCTCCCTRGCTAAGCCTTTTGTGCAATAGTATCAGTGTTTTTAGTGAGAAGCACTCGGGGCTGGTCCAGCCTGGGAGTGGCGGGGAGGAAGGAATTGCACGCTGGTGAATCACGAGGGTGAAGCGTGGCCAGGGCGCTGCCCAACAGCTCTCCTGTCACCAGACAGACGAGGCACTTCAGAATATCAAGATAAGTTTCTTGTTTCCAGCTGGAAGGAAATGAATTCTTAAGGGAGTGTGTTGCACAAATGCTTTGTGTGAAAATAATTGTAAAATATCTGTGACTTTATATGATAGATTTGCTTGTGCGTAGTTGCTTAGACATATCAGTCCTGCTTTCAGCGTTCCTGTGATAACACAGTAGCTGGTTCTTTCCTGACAAGAGAAAACTTTATTGATCTGTTTCATAAAATGGTCAGAGGCGGGTGGTCCAGCTTCCCAAACATGGATAAAAACTCCTGGCTATKTCCCCACAGGAGTTTGATATGTGTTGTTGGTTGCATATGCATAAATAATTGAATCTTTTTTACTAAGTAATAATTAYGTTTGTAATGAGACTTGATGACTGTAAGAAAGGGAGCCCTCATGAGATTAGGGKTAGCTATAAAATATAGCTTGACCTTCCCTTTCAGGCCCAGTGGATCAAAACAGTATCTTACATCGAAGTTGGAGACACGCTTTCTTGGCTACTGACCTAAAGTCAATCAGTAAAAATTCTTTGCATACTTCTCTTTGCTGGCCCATCATAATGAAAGACCCCTCTAAATTTAGATGGATTTTAGGGTAAAGAAGAAAACGTCCTTTGTGCTTCTGACATGATAGAAAAGGGCTTTAAAATAAAATTTAAAAAAAGCTTCGTAGCTGAAGTGTGAGCAATGCTGCCTTTCAGAAGGGCAGATGTGCTTTGCTGGGGTTTTCATCCTGTGTGTGCCATGGTGGGGATGGAGCTGGGGAAGGGCCCAATGACCACAGCTGCCACAAGCAGCCCCTCCATCTGCAGCAGCTTGTCCCCACAGTGACAAGGTGGGCTCCACTGTCCCACCTGCAGGGATGGTTCTTTGGGGAAGAAGTGCAGTTCGGAGCCTTTTCTGAGACTTTGTGCAGTGGTTCCTGCCCTRAGCTGTGATGCTGCAAAGCTGAGCAGTGCCCAGCCAAACCATCACCTGAAAGAGCCTCTGGATTTTTAACTGAGGCCTTAGTAGAAAGGATGTAATTATGTATTAGTGGTCTTAGCATTTTAATAAAGCAAGGAGTGGGTAACAAATATCCATGGATATGGTGTAACTGAATTTTTCCTGCTTGAGGAACCAGAGAAAAAGTGACAAGGAGGGTTACATTGTGCTTTGCTGCAGCTCCAGTGCAGAAGTTCAGTTTCTGCAGTCTGAGCTCTACAAATCCATCTGTATTTCAGCACTGCTGGGGGTGCTTTTGAATGTGTGGTGTCAGAATGCACAGCCATGTCAGTRGAAGAGATGTCACCATTAAAGACCTTCTGCAAAGGCAGTCAGCTGYTATGGGAGCTGTGTGCATCCTTACAGTTGTACCAGAATGAATGCTGTGCTCAGGGAAAARGGAACAAACACCCCTGGTCTGGGCTGGTACCAGGAGAGCATCACCCAGCCAGGGAAGGAGGTGCCTGGGGAGGATGTGTCTCTGCTGAGGGAGCAGGAGCATCCCAGCAGGAGGTTTTAAGTTTTGCCAGTAGTATTGCACCTTGAGCAAAATCCATGCCTGCCCTCATTTTAAAATTCCTTTGTAATTGCGGGCTTGGCGAGAGGCTAATCTGTTTACACAGGCAGACAGGCAAGAATGTGTTTCCTGGGAGTGCTAACAGCAGCTCCACCCCGGGAAAAACTCAGGTCCTGCTCCRGGGRCACAGCAGGGAGAGTCCATAAAAGCAGTTTTCTCATAAAAATTGGAGCCATCCCTCCTCTTCCCATCTTCCCCTTAATTTAACAGGCAAGGGGGGAAAGCATTAATTCTGCAATGCTAAATGTAGGTGTTGGTCTGGAGCTTGCCCACTTCCTCTGCGTGTTTAAAAAATCAAACCTGCCCATGCACACCAGGACTGAAGGGGAGTCACCACTGACAGCCATGGCTGGGCATGTCCTGAGCTTCCAAAATGAGGAGCTCATATATTGGTGGATAGGGGGACAAACAGAATAGACCACTGACCTCCAAACTTCGTTGTTCAGAAAAAACTTCTGAACATGCATTGTTTCTATTTCTATTATTTCTATTTCTATTTCCTTATTAATTGTATATATGCACTGTAGTACTGTTACGTACATTATTGGACACATACAAAATATACTTTAAAAATATAAGATAAGGATGAAATAAGCACTACTTTTAAATAATGCATATACTTTCTTTTACTTACTGGTGGTGCTCCCAGCTCTTTTGTGTTGAGGCAGTTACTTAGTGTTGGGCCAAAATATGCTTTGTGTATAAAAGTACCATCTAAGAATTGGTATCAAAACATGAATTACTGTGAAATATTGACACCTAATGGTATTTTACATACTAGACATCTGTGAACAAGTTTGTGTATTTCAACAGCTAGCCTTATGTTTTGGRTGAGAGAATAAAAAGAAGTTTTTATTAGGAATATGCAAAATGGCTTTAGGAGCTGTTTAAAACCAAACGTGCTGTGAATCTAATGGAAGTTATAAACAGCTGAAGCTCAGCCATACAGGAGTCACGCATTTACCAGAATGTCATTAAATATTTCTGTTGTGAAAAAGTCCCCTCATTCCTGCCTAACTCAAAGAGAAGCTCACATAAATAATTTTCAGACTGTGACCAAGCATGGTAGTAGTCAGCTGATATGACTCGTGAAAAAGGTACAATCTCAGAAGAGGAACATTTCTGTCTGTGACAACTTCAGCTTTAGCAGTGCTGCCTCTGTGTGACGCTGGAAGGGCAGCCAGGGAAATTTGTTTTATTGCTTTTTACCTGGCTGCCCTCACACAGATGGCTTTTGTCAGGGGTTACCTCCCGTCTCCTTTCTCACCTTTGTGGTTGACAACAATCAGGTTCTCAAAGCACCTTATTTGCCTCTGTTAATAAATTAGGGTTTAACTATGTGCTTGCTTCAGGCACTGCACTGAAAGCTGGATTTCAGAGACTTGGGCAACAAATTTCTTCTTGCTGTATTCCTGCCTGGAGGTGCCTACCTCCCACTGCTGGCAGAAACGTTGGCACATGCAGCACCTCCCACAGCTCTGCACTTTCCATCCCTGGAGCTGGTGTTCCTGGAATGGGAGCCCGTCCCTGACAAAGGACAGCATCTTCCCCTTTACGCAAAGCAAGCGAGGGATAATCCTGCTGATGTGATGAAATTACTTGTGGGGTTGTGGGAGGGAAAGGGTTTGTGTGAAAGCAGCTGACTGCAATGCTGTCCCTGAGATGGAGATGGGCATGAGCCTTTTCTGAGGTCATAGGGGGAKAACACCCTCAAAACATGAGAGCAGGTGAGGAGGAGAATGTGTGCCCACAGCTAGATGCATATCATAAGGCTAAGGCTGGGTTGGTGGACTGCCACGTCTTGTTTTGCACAGGCTTCAGGGTGTCCCTGCACATGGATAGTGCTATCACTGAATTTAGGGTGTTCCTCCACTGCTGGGCCCCACCAGTGCCAATACTGGTCTTTTTTTCATCACCTGAATACCTGGTTTACCTTCCAGGTGTCACAGAGCCTTTCAAACGTGATTTCTTTACAGGATGTGCTTGGYGGAGCACTGATTTCGGCTGTGCTGCTCGTGCTCTTGTACCCTGCGTGGGACACCATYGATCACTTGCTGTTAACCAGCCCCTTCTGCCCGCTGTTTTCCATAGCTGTGCCTCTTGTCTTATGCTACAACTACCCCAAACTAGACTACTACAGCCCTACCAGGGGAGACACCACTACTATCCTGGGAGCAGCAGCCGGAGCAACTGTGGGCTTTTGGTTGAACAACCAGTACGCTGCTCCAGCCTACACCAGCAAAAGTTTCCAGGCTGGATTTCCTCAGATCACCAGCACAGTGTTGTTTGTGCTGGCCAGGTTCTTCGTAGGGATCTCTGTTGTCCTGCTGACACGCTGGGTGATGAAGAGCGTGGTCCTTGGCGCGCTGGGCTATCGGTACCAGTTCCCCCTTCRTGACCTGCAGGCCCGCAGACGCCTGGAGGTTGAGGTGCCATACAAGTTTGTAACGTACTCCTCTGTCGGCTTCACGGCCACCGTGATTGTGCCGCTGCTGCACGAGCTGCTGGGACTGATGTGAGCACAGCTCCTCCTCACCGAGCCACCTGCAGCACCACTGCTTCGGAGAGAGCTCACTCCAGGCTGCTGACTCGACCAAAAAGTGTTTTGTGCCTTTCTGCACTGGTGTGGTGGGTCTGGCTCTGGCTGGATGCCAGGTGCTCACCAAAGCTGTTCTATCACTCCCCTSTCTCCAGGGAGAGGAAATATAATGAGAGGATCACAGCTCGAGACAAGGGCAGGGAGAGATCACTGAGCAGGTCCATTGTCACAGGCAAAACAGACTCGACTTGGGAAAATCAGTTTAATTTATTACCACACTCAGATCAGAGTAGGATAATAAGAAAWAAAAGCAAACACTATGACCACCTTCCACCTATCCCTCCCTTTTTTCTAGGCTCAGCTTCACTCCTGAATTCTCTACCTCCTCCCACCCAGTATCACAGAGGGATAGGAAATGGGRGTTGCAGTCACTTCATCACACCTTGTTTGTGCTGCTCCTTCACCCTTAGGGGTAGGAYTCCTCACACTTCTCCCCTGCTCCAGTGTGAGATCCCTCCCACAGAGGACAGCTCTGTCAAAACCTCTCCAGTGTAAATTTTTCACATGGGATGTTATTCTTTGTCCAGCSTGGGTCCCCTGAGTGATCACAAGTCCTGCCAGGAGCCTGTTCCCTGGACTTCCCTCGGGGTTCCACCCTTCTTAAAGCATCACCCTGCTCCAGTGTGRAGTCCTTCACTGATGGCAGTTGGATCTCTGCTCCCCATGGACCTGAAGGGCTGCAGGGAAGTCTCTGCTCTGGCACCCAGAGCACCTCTTACTCCTCCTCCTCCTGTGATCTTGGTGTCTGTAGGTTTGTTTCTCTCCCACACCTTCTCTCTCTGCCTGCAGCTGTGCAGGTTTTCCCCCTTTGTCACTCTGTTATCCCAGAGGTGCTGCTGCTGTCACTGATGGCCAGCAGTGAATCTGTCTGGGAGCCAGCTGGTATTGGCTCTGTGGGACTCGGGGGAAGCTTYGGGCACCTTCTTAGAGAACCTACCCTTGCAGCCCCACCACTAGCTTCCCTTGCCACACAAACCCTGAAATACCTGATCTGGAGGAGTCATGGGAAGGGCTGTGCATTTGGATTAGGAATCACTGACCCCCCTGTGTCCCATAACGAGAGACCTTTGGCCCAGGCAGCTGAAGATGACAAGCACAAAGATTAAATGCCATCCAGAGAAACCATGGGCTTGCTGCAGGGTTGGGGTTGCTGGGGAGCAGGGCTGTGCCTCTGCCTGCCCAGCCTAGGGCTACTGCTCAAGCAGTAGAGCAAGCCAAGGAAGGGCTCGGGTTTGGGGCACTGGGGAAAAAGCTGATGGTGGGGTGGGGGACGAGGTGACCAGCCAAGACCGAAGTGCCATCATGGGGCAGAGCTCATAGTGTCTTCTGATGGCGCTGCCAGACCAGGTTAGTTCTGTGTGGATGGTTTTATTCATTACAATTAAAAAAAAAGCAAAAAAACCAACAAACCACCAAAGTATAAAAGAGAAGGAAAATTTAAAACATTTAATGTGATTTGCAACAAATTTACCTTGGATATTAATAAGAAAGCCTCCACTAAAAGGTTCTTTGCCTACAACCAACTTAGCAGAGTTATTACTACAGCACTGAGGCTTGAGTCTGAACTGTAACTCTGATTTAGTTGCCCTGGCTAAGGGAAAGGAAAAAGTCCTTCCTGTTGTGTGGGGGTGACAAGTAGCATCCATAAAGTGCGTTGTGGAAGGAGCTGAGCAGTGACTCTGGTGGCTATGGCAYCTGGCAATGATACGATGCCATCATTTTCTGCTACTGCACAGCATCACAACTGGTCTTCCATGCATCCTGCAGCACTGTGCACCTGTAGAATAGCAGGGGAGGAGTGTCCATAGGAAGATCGTCCCTACAACTCAGGCTGCTTATTTAAAACAATGTATATCAGCTGTTGGACCCATGAGCTGTTGAGAAATACAGCAGTGAACGTGGTCTGCTTGGCTAGAAAAATGTACWGTGCTATTGCAGAGCTTCAAGCATGGCCCCCGTGCCTTGCCTGGCAGAATGTACAGTGAGCCAGCTTCCYAACCATGTCCACTTGTCTTCCTGGCTGCAAGGAAAATGAACCTGAACAATGTAAAGGAGGGGCTTTGCCTTCCAGTGACTGCTTGGGTAAAAATAATTCCAAAACCRTAGCTGGGACTTTGTCTGAGGAGTGTGAGGTGTGCACATGAAAAATCTGTGCCACTTTAAAYCCAGGYTGTCAGTCTCCAGAAGAAACGCAGRCAGAAATTTTAACCATTTTTTGATTTGCTCAGGCTGTGCGTAAGCTGTATTTTATCAGGTTGTGTGGACTTCACACGTGCATGCAAACAGCTCCAGCGAGCCTTTCAGCAGAGCACAAGCCCAGTCCTTCCTCCCCCTGGGGGAGTGCTGGACGTGGGCCACCACAGCCATGGGGTTCCATCCTCAGCCTCTCTTCCTCCTGTACACCACAGAAGTGCTGCCACCAGGTTTAAAACACCTTTAAACCCCTCGTGTTGAGAGTGCTGCATGACACACAGGTGCAGTGCACAATTGGAGCCCTGCAGAGGAGCCACATCACAAAATTGGGTAAAAACTTGGCAGCAAACTGAGCGTTTAAGCTGGGGATTGGAATTACTCCCAAGACAGGCACAGTTTGACAGGGACATTCATGCAGCTTTATGTGTAAAATTTCTGTTCTGATTCACAGCTATTTTCTGCYATGAAGATTTTATAAATTATATAGAGATGCTGCACAGGTATTTTTATAGTATTCACCTGCATGTGAATMATGCAATAAATGCAAATTGTGTTTGGTTCAAATTTTAAAATAAACTTATTTTGCAGAGTTTGGTGTCTGTCTGTTCAATTTGCATCTTCTGTYGATACTTTTAAATGACTAATGTAAAGGCAATGAGTCCCAGCTAAAAAAGTTTCCCAAGTGCAAGCACCCACCTCTCTTCCCAAGCTGTCCCACTTGTGGCTCCTTGTCCCCTGCTTAGTCTAGATATGAGCTTTGGCTCCTCCAGCACARTCCTGTTCTTTTAGAAACATTTTTAAAAAAAGACTTCTTGTCTGCTAATTGCTGTTTGTTAGCTTTGCAAATGGAAATGAGTGATTCGCTCTTGTACTTACTACTGGGGGTCTTTGGGGCACTGGAATCTCTATCACCTGCAATATCTACTTCTAATAAACTAAACAGTTAATTGGAAGCCAATTTTAATTGAGATGTGCAATGATAGCATGGCAACCCATGAACTACAGAATATTTTGCATGAGTTGGGGAGCCTAACAAGGTTTTGTGGCCAAGGATCTGTGTTTGAAACCGGGTAGGGCCACCTTCTCCATTCAGCATCACTCCTGCCTGGGGTGGAGTCACCCCAAGTGCCCACAGCTGATCAGGGTGAGCCCAATTGCTGCAGCATCCCTGAGCCAGCTGGGCTAGGCACAGCTTTCAGCTGGGCTCTGTGCTGAGCCTGTGCTCCTGGGATGCTCCCAGGACCACAGCCATGTCTGCAGGGCCAGAATTGGAGAGCCAAGTCTTCTGACAAGGTGACACATAYCACCCTTTCTGTATTTCATTAACCTGCAGCACCAGCTCCTCATTGCACATCCSTGTGTGCCTTTGCTGTCTTTGGAAATGCTCCCTGCCTCTTCATCCCTGCAGTGCAGGTGTCTCTGCATGTCCAGTGTGGTGGTAGAGAATGAGGTTTGGGGTTGGGTTTGCTGGCCATGCTCTTTGCTCTGTAACAAAGGCACCACCTGAATCCTCTCAAGCAGGCATGCTTGTGTTTTAAAGTAAAACTCCTGCTGATGTGAAAGGAGTGGGAGGTGACTTGCAGAGCATCACCCCTGCAGCCTGAGCTGTTGACTCCATCCATTTCTATGCAAAATCACAAGCAAGCTCATGCCTTGCTTTTCTGGAGACAGTTGATGTAATTTAGGGGACAAAAGAAAACAGATTCAGTTTGGACCCTTCTAAACTGTGCTACAGGTAGAAATTAGAAAACACAGGCACCTCGCTTAGCAGGGTGGAAGTAAAGATTGGCAGGGGGTGGATCTTGCACGTTTGCTAAGCCATGAGTAAAGCAAGGCCCTCGCTTGCTGCCAGCTCCTGCTCTTGTCAGAACTTCCCCTGCTGTCTCCCTGCCTGTCCCCAGTCCCAGGGGACACCTGGGTCTCCCTGCCTGTCCCCAGTCCCACAGCACACCTGGGTGTCCCTGCCTGTCCCCAGTGCCACGGGACACCTGGGTCTCCCTGCCTGTCCCCAGTCCCACAGCACACCTGGGTCTCCCTGCCTGTCCCCACCCCACCCCACAGGCTCGGTTTCAAGGTCACCGGGCGGTCAGAGGTGTCGCGTGTGCCAGGCCATGATGCCCTGGCAGCCTCCTGGCTTTTGCCCAGCCAATTCCATACTCACCTGCCAAACCAAGGATAATTTACATTTCAAGCAAGCACAGCGCCAGCCCGGAGATGGAAACAGTCGCAGGAGTCACCTTTCCACAAACAGCCTTGTGCAATGGCGGGGGTGACCTGCAGGCATGGGTCCTGTGCAGCCAGGGCTCTGCTCTCTGCAAAACCATCACCAAAGCACAGCAAGGACAAACTCAGAGCCCAGCGCTTGTGTCCAGCACAAAGGAGCCTGGCAATCACCCTGGCAGCACACTAAAGCAGCTCTGATCTCTCTGCCACCAGCACTCCACCTTTTCTGCTCGTGTTCAGATCCCCAGCCATGACCCTGYACCCACAGGCCGCAGGAGCAGGCCCAAAGTCATCCATAATTGGACCAGCAGTTAAAAATCCCACTTTCAACTCCCATCTAAAAAGAAAGCCCAAGCTCAAAAGATGTAAAACAACTGCTCAGAAGTCCCCACCAGCGCTAAAGGTTTCCTCTGCCAGAGCCCATGGCTAGAGCAAAGAGTAAAAGCAAATTTCAATGCTCAGAGCGCTCACTCCAGCACAGAGCTGTGCGATAACCACCTCGAGTACTGCACAGGCTGTGAGCAGGCTGTAAATACCAGATAATTGCTTTGGAGCTRTGAAAGACAAAGCCTCGCAATAAATACACCAGACTTACATGAAGTGTCCCACTCATCAGGAATCACAGTTAATCCTGAGCACAGCACTACAGCACAGCTTGAATTTCATTGCAAGGCTGCTGGCACCACAGTTAACTGGAGGGGTCAGGGGCTCTGAAGAGCCTTTTTAACCTTTCTCTTGATTCTCATCCTCTACTTTTAGAGAGTTATGGTACTCACCTGGGACAAAGTTCGTGTTTTTGGAGCATTTAGCTGCCAGTGCATGAGCAAATGGTGTGAAAAACAAGTGATCCCTCAAAGCCTCACAACACATGCCACTGCAGCTCAAGCCCTTAGTCCCAGCTTAATCTAGTCTTTACTCTCAAAGGACAGCTAAATTCACAGAAGTATTGGGACACCCAAATAGTCCGAAAATCTCGTGTAGAGAAATATATTTAGTGCACGCAAATATGCCTGCACTCTGCTGCAATGCAAATCTGCCTTATTGTCGTCCTAATCCCCGTGCATGACACACCAATAAACAGGGGGGGTTAATGCTTTCCATCTGCGTTACAGATTGCTTCCCACACTGCGAGCCTGCCTGGCTACAGTTGGGGAGGCATCGTGGAGAGAGAGATCCTGCAAACGCCGAGCTGCCTAATCCCTCGGGAGGTTTAAAATGTGAGCTGCAGTTTTCTCACTCTCCGTGGGCACCGGAGTCAGTCGTGCAACGTATGGCAATAGCAATATTCTCATTTCACGTCTGTCATGCAGAGATAATTAAAATCTACACTTCCATCTGAGGGGAACCGTAGGGTTTCCAGATGGGTAACTGTAGTGCATTTTTCATACTGGATTATCACTTGCACCAAAAAGCCTTGCCTGTTGCCTTCCCACCTGTTGGCATTATTGATGGGGCTGCCATTGAAAAGCCCTCGTGGGCCCAGTGATAGGGGTCTGTGCAGCTCGTAAAACTACAAGTTTACCTCAGCACTGCACATCTCTCTGCTCAGCGAGGCAGTCATCATGACACCCTTCTCCAGCAGCTCCCAGATGTCCACTCTTGGACAGCCCCCTCCTGGGATCAGGGTCTATCTGGCTCTCACAACAGAGGAGCCCAACACAAAATAGTGGCTATTGTTAGCCTGCAGCATTAGCAATGGTTATAATATTGCAAAGGAGGGACAGCCAGCTCCACAGCCAGCCAGTCAAGAGCGGCTTCAGTGCACTGAGCTGACCACCCACTTGGTGACATTCCTGCAGAAAGGAAGCATCAGGCATCACCGTGCTAGATGGAGCTTCTCAGTTTCACAGAGAGCAGAGGCACAAAGCACCAGGCTGTGACACAACTGCTGCCAGAAAGCCACCTAGAAGGAAAAGCCTGACCCATGAGAGTTTCTCATGTACTGGAGGGGGCAAAACTGCCAGAAAAGGAACCCTGCCCAAAAGCTGCGCTGTCCTGCTGCACAGCTGGGGTCCAGAAAGCCCTGGTGGGGCTGGGAGTGCAGCGGGCCCACGCTCACTCCTGCAGACAAACATGCCAGCCTCAGACAGACAAAGGCTTTGATAGATTTCTGCTCCTCATGCAAAAGACCATTGGCATATGCTCTTAAATGCACTTCCCCATTTGGTTTGGAGCTTCAAAAACCACTAGACTGACAACAACAATGAAAAAAATTTAATSCCACCCCCTCCCCTTTCTGAATTTAGAATGATAAAGGACCAACAGTTATGTCTGGAGTGGGGAAGCAGATATTRCACACATCTTGCTTAAAAAATAGCTCTGGTTTTCATGAAACAAGTTTATTTTCCTCCCCCCAGCCATTGATGAGCACATGACAACCGTACAGAATAAAAGCTCAACTCCTTAGTTCTGCTCACATTCACTCAACATTTGCTCTAATCAATTATCTTATTTCATGCAATAAGAAAAGAATGAGATTCCTGTTATGCAGCCATAATCAGTTACAGTATGAAGCTGTGTCTGTGGAACATTTCTGATTTTGAAAACTAATCATGTGCTCTGCCATTACATTTCTCTTGTAAAACACTGGGCTTTGACCCAACTTGCTTCTTCCCCCCTGCCCTTTGAAAACATTGAGGGCACAGCCTAGYCCGAGATCCCACATTCTTTCCCTGCAGAAGCCAGCCAGATTGCACTGTAAAGAATACATTTACTCAGGGAGACAGGATCTGTTCTTCTGGTTTATTGGAACATAAAAGCATAAGCAGATGTCCCCTGGGAGGCAGACAAGAGAGGAGAGGGTGCTGCCTGTGACAGTGGACGGCTGTCAGAGGATAAAAGTCACGTCTTCACACGAAGGGCTCAATATTGATCTCTAGGGCAGARCAGGGCATGGTAAGCTCAAACTTGGTGATAACATCAGGGTGTATGACTCCAAGTTTCCCAATGCTTTGACCTTTGGCAAAGACCTCAGCACAGCGACCAGGGAAGAAAGCAGTGCCTGTAAAGAAAGTGAGACAAAAATCAATATTTCTTTGGGCCAGAGAAGTCAATAGGCATTTAACGTGCAGAACAAAGCTCTCGGTATTAAACTGTTCTCTGCACTGAGATGCTAAGAAGGGGCTCTCACTTTCTTGCATTAAGAGTTGTCATGATTGATGGAGAATGAGAAAACACTGAGTTAAAAATAAAATGTAAAGCCCAAAGCGTGGGCATTTTTCACACTCCAATTGTTTTGACCAAGTTCTTCCTGCAACAGAAATTAGCACAGTTGAGTCAGAGGGCTACTGAAATCAAGAACTTTTGCAGCCTTTAGGCTATTTAACATCTGAATGTCTCCCACCTTAGTCTGTTTAAAGAAATAAA